CCAGGGCTTGCGTCTCCCGGGCGCCGCCGCCAGGTCTCTGGGTACCTCCACCTGGCCAGCCCTGGAGCAGCCGCCGGCCCCACCAGACAGTCCTCTGCGGCAGGTGAGGCCCCAGGGAGGCCCGGGCCACCCGCCTCCCGTTCCACCAGACTGGCGCAGGAAGCTGCATGCGCCCCGGCAACCCCTGGGCCACCCGGGACGCAGGATTCGCTACGTTTAAGACTGGCCGAGTCCCGGACAGGTTGGCCACCTTAGACCCAGCGGAGTCAACAAGCCACCCCACGCCAGACCCACACGCCTTCAAACCTGGCCCCGACGCAGGAAGGCGGCCAGCGTCTGCCGCCGAAAGCCGTGCGCACACGCGAATTAACATCTGCAAAGCGCCCGAAGTCTCGCCTGGCACCTAGCAGACGTTCCACAGATGTCACCGATTATGAACGCTGCTCCATTCCCATCTTGACAGCCAAGGCCGGCCAGGCCCGGCGTCGGCCAGCTATGACCGGGGCTGTGTCTGCTGCCTCAAGCCCAATGCACGGACACAGGGCCTGTCCTGGGCCACCGGGGTTTCAGCAGGCGCAAGCGGTCAGAGCCCACCTCCCCCACCCCACGCCGGCCGATCACACGCGGCAGCGCTAGGCGCGCGGGCCAGGGTTCCAGAGACTCCAGCCTGGGGTCCAGCCTGGCTCTGCCTTGGGCTCACGGGCCTCTCTGTGACACGTCAGCACACAAGTGGCCCCCGGCACCCAGCTGAGCTCCACATGGAGCCCCCTGCTCCAGCCTGGGGGCCGCCAAGCCCCGAGCCTCTGCTCACCGACCGCCTGCCGCGAGCCCTGCCGCTCGCTCTGCGCCACGGCCCACCCGCCCCACTCTCTTTTTTTTTCTTTTTTGAGACAGAGTCTCACTGTGTTGCCCAGGCTAGAGTGCCATGGTGTCAGCCTCGCTCACAGCAACCTCCAACTCCTGAGCTCAAGCAATCCTCCTCCCTCAGCCTCCCGAGTAGCTGGGATTACAGGCATGCGGCACCGTGCCCGGCTAATTTTTCCTATTTTTAGTTGTTTGACCAATTTCTTTCTATTTTTAGTAGAGACGGGGTCTCGCTCATGCTCAGGCTGGTCTCGAACTCCTGACCTCGAGCGATCCTCCCTCCTCGGCCTCCCAGAGTGCTGGGATGACAGGCGTGAGCCACCGTGCCCGGCCCCGCCCCACTCTTGACTGGGGGCTTCGAGGGAGCAGGTTGGGGGTCAGTGACCAGGTGTGGCCGTCAGGGGCTGTGTCCATCACCCGCCATGGGCATGTTATCAGCAGAAGACGAGGCTCACCCGGAGAGAGGCTGGGGTCTGGGAGAAAGCGGGCCCGGGACAGAGGGCTCCTGGACACAAGGACACCCGCCCGCCTCGCCCAGGACTCCCCTGCACAGAAGCCCGTCTAAGCCGATCTCTGCCGCTCACGACCCACGTGCGCCCGTATCGGGAGGATGGTGCTGCCTGACGCCCCCCTCCGAGAGCTTCTCGAGGACAAAGGCCGGCCCAGGCCGAGACCCGTGGGCACCCACAGACCCAGGACAGGCAGGGCTCCCGCTCGTGGCAGGGACGTAAGTCCCTAAGGCCAGCAAGCGTGAGCCACCATTGCGCCCATTCTACAGACGGGAACACTGAGGCACAAAAGTTTACACGGTCTGTTCCGGCCTCTCAAGCATTTGCCGGGAAGCAAACGTGAGCGGCCGGGCTCTGGAGTCTGCGTCTCTGACAGGTGTGGGCCCCCGCCCAGCGCAGGGAGGCCGCCGGGGGACGGCGCGAACCGAGCTGCGGTCGGCGGGTGGGACAGACGGGCCCCGGCTCCCCCGACCCCAACGGACCTTCCTTGCACTCCAGGGCCACCCGCGACTCCAGGTTGTCCATCTGCAGCTGCAGCCGCTTGAGCGTGCGGTCGGCGTCTCGGGACTTGCGCTTGTACGCGATGAGCACGGCCACGATGACCAGCAGCAGGAGGCCGCCGCCGCCGCCGATGCCCACGGTGGCGGGCAGCGTGAGCAGGCTGTCCGAGTACACCTGCAGCGTGCCCGGGGAGAACTCGAAGCCGCCGGCCCGCACCTGTCGGGGTGGGCGGGGGCGGGGCAGACGGAGGCCGCTCAGAGTCCCCCGAGACACCCACCTGCCCCCCGGATGAGGTCCTCCCCACCCCCGACAGGGCCCCCGGCGTGGGGGGCCTCGGAGGTCGGGACGCGGCGACTCGCGGGGCTCGGGGCCGGGGGAGACGGGGTTAGTGCCAGGCGGGGCCGCCGCCGGGGGTGAGGAGGTCGCAGGCGGTGGGACCCAGGAGACCAGAGCCCCCCGGCGTGGGGGTGGGGCTGGGGCTGGGGGTTGGGGGTGGGGGTGGGGGTCACGCACCGTGACCTTGTGCTGCCCCGTGAGGTTGGGCGCGTCACAGAGCAGCTGCGTCTCGGACACGGTGAGGGCGCACGGCGTGGACCCGATGAGCACCGTGTAGTTGAGCCGGGAGTTGCCGGGCGCCGGCGGCAGGAGGTTCCGGCCCTGCAGGGCGGGGAGGACGCGTGAGCCCAACGGCCCGGGGGTGGGGGGGCTCCCGTCGCCGCCAGCACCACCCCTGCGGGGCTCGGCCGTCGCCCCGGCGACCGGACCCACCTTGAGGATGAGCGGGGAGCTGGGCTTCAGCTCCAGGAGCCCGGTGGGGCTGAGCGGCTCCAGCACGGGGTCGGGGTAGTAGAGGAAGGAGGACGCGTTCAGCACCAGCAGGGACCGCACGTTGTCCATGACGAAGCCCAGCTCGTCCGGCCGCTCGCCCAGCTCGGGGGGGCTGCGCAGCGGGTTGTCCACGGAGGGCGCGAGGCACACCATGGTGGTGTCGTTGTACACCACGCAGCTCTGGGGACGCAGGGCACGACCGAGGTCGGCAAGGCCGACGAGGGGCGGGGGGGG